TGATAATGTTCGTCTTATAATTTGCAAATATTGAATCATCGACATGCTGTTGATTCTGTTGCATGCTTAGATTTGCTTAGTGGAAGGAATGCACATGGATTTCGTTTCAACATTAGTTGTAACTAAATGTTATCAACTTCTTGCATACCTATACGTGCACACACCTACACATACACCTACACACATCTACACATACCACATACACACACCTATACACACCTACGCACACCACATACACACACCTGCACATACACCTACACACGCCTACACACATCTCTACACACACCTACGCACACCACATACACACGCCTACACACACGCATGCATATCGGCAAGAGGCATGTATTCGTTGAATGATTGCATTACAAAGGGAATCATCCCACAAGGTGTTATCATTATTGACGGAAAAGCGTAACATTCATTTATCATGCGCGATATATTCTAGGAGTCAAAGGTCACAAGAGGACAAATTGAAATAAGAAATATGAATAGCACATGTAAGAGTAACTTAAGCGGTATGTGTCTATAAGATATGACGAAGTAGGATAAAGGTAATGTATTTATCTCAGGTAACAAATAGTTGTCCTTACCTTAAATAATCCATCTATATCATTTCACATTCAATTTACTAAAATAGATGAATGATTTTATGTTAAAGGTAAGTGAGCAAACAAGAATGATATAACATACACCTTTTAATTTATACAGTGCAAAGATATTTCTTGTTAGCTGAATATTCCAGAATATTATCTATTACAGTAACACTTCATCATCATTATTCAGTTATCGTTACAAGAAGTTTTCCTTTTTTTTTTTTTTTTTCTGCTGACAAAATGATAATTTCAATTTTATTAAAATTTCAAAATAAATTTCATAATTCAATAAATTTCATAATTTCATAAATGTCATAATTTCAATTTTATTAAAAACATTTGATCTATCAATATTGCTAATCATTAATCAGCAAGAAAGTTTATAGTGTCAAGTGATGTCATGACTTGTCTTTTTAATGAGAAAGAATCAAATACAATTGAAAATATAAAGTATTGTAATATTGGTAAATAAAATAAGATAATAACCATTAAAGTTATCAATAATTATTGATAATCTTTCAATGATTTTGTTAAATAACAATGTAATAAAGGACAATAAAAAGGTGCCATATACATCTGATATAAGACATGTCATCTAATAATTGTTCGATCATCGATCATGCCTTTGCTACTCCCATCATATTTTAATCGCTCCACAGGACATCACTTCTTGCATTAAATTCAAAAATGAAAAAGGATGAAAAAGAATTAGAAAAGAGATGAACTACAAACGATAAGGAATACCACCTGGTCATATCTTTCTCGTTTTGTCATATTGCAATTTAGGAAATGATCTTTGATAGGGATATGACAATAAATATCATCACATTAATTATTTACTTACAAACTTTTTAAAATACTATACTATTTTCTAATTAATTATTATACAATATATTATAATTTCAGATTTGAATTTGGATAGAGCAAATGATGAATGGTAAGAAAAGAAGGACAGTAATAATAATGAATATGATGATACAATGAAGAAGTTGACATTTTAGCCAGGTCATCCATTCTTTTGCTATTTTTATTGTATTTGTTTAGCCAAAAGAAATTAATTTATATCTCTAGAAGGTTATGTTAAGATAGATAGTTAAATTATATGTATGAATTTTGATTATGGCGCCGATGATATTGTATATATGTGATTTGATTGATCAGATAATAGATCTATCTGTCTGTGGTAAAATCTCACCTCATTATCCGTACCATTTTTGGTAGAATATATTGGTAGTTCTTTTTTTTTTTTTTCTATCTATCTATGATAATTGTTATGAGATATTGTATAGAATGATGTTATAATCCTCATCATTATGATCAATTTTTACATATATCATTGTTTTAATAGAAAATACCGCATGAAATCTGAACTTAATCATTTTTACCTGTTCTGATCATTTCTTCATCATCACATCCTTTTCAATTCCTCCTCCTCCTCCTCTTCCTCTTCCTCTTCCTCTTCCTCTTCCTCTTCCACTTCCTCTTCTCTTCTCTCATTTTTTCCATTTTTCTTCCTAACTTAAAATTTTTAATTTGTTTAACAATTGATAATATGACAATTGTCATTTGGCAATTAATTGATACGAGTAGCATAATTTTAAGAGATATGGATTAGTGATGAGATGAGAAAGAAATGGTGCAAAATCATCAAATGAATCATTTTAGCGCTTATTCATCTAATAGCGATTGGTTTGATAATGATGTCAACTAAATGGTGACATACTATTGGTAACTGTGAAGGTGTCATCAAGATAGAATAACCTTTTTAGTTAATATTAGTTATGCATACATACATATACTATCAAATAATGCAAATTTTAATTTGAAATAGACTAGGAGAAGTGAAAATTTAAGCGAAATTTTAATGAATTTTCAAATTTTCCCTTCACTGCCAATATATTTACATATTTTCATTCATTATACTCTTTACCTGTATCTCCCGGGTTTTTGTATGTATTTGTAGAAGCGGAATAAATTGAATTCAAGGACAATCTCAGGTAATTTTCATCTAGTTAAGACTTTAGATAAGGACAGATCTAACTTTCCCAGGCTACCCTTAACTCTCATTTATTCTCGAAATCATTACAACGCACAGATAATGGACCAAGAAAAAAAAAAAACTTAGATATAAAATATGCTCATGTGTCTGTCTATCTGTCTGTGTGTGTGTGTGTGTGTACTGATATAGATCGATCGATGGAAACTTATTACAATGAACTTTGTTGACTTCATTCTGTAATTTCATCAAATTAAAATGATCCAATCACTTCTCTTTTAATCGTTATTGCTCTGTAACAAGGAATACGGACAGACAGATGAACAGACACACGCACACACATTCTTATCATAGAACTAATTGAAGTTGAAGTAATCAAATGATAAGCTATCAGAATATAAAAAAATTTACTACGATTACCATCTCATTTGCAACGAATTCTTGGAAATATTTTTTTTTTGAGCAAAAGATGAAATGTAATAAATTTCTATTAATATTAATATTTGAACTAATCAATAATTCATTTTTTTTTTCAATTAGATCAAAGCTTATGATAAGCTATTTAAGCAAGTAATTAATCAGACTGTTTGATGGAATGAGGGATGAAAGAAAGGAAGATGATCAGCTAAGATGCGTCACTGATTCATGAGTGGATAGTTGTTATTCCTAGTGGGGGGTACATATGTGTAGAGGATGGCCTGAACGATGACGATTAACTGAAGTGGCTTAAAATAAGTAGTAGTTAGTAGTTAGTAGTAGTAGCAGTTAGTAGTTAGTAGTAGTTGTAGTAGTTAGTAGTAGTAGTAGTAGTAGCAGTAGTAAGTGCTTGTAACATCCAAAGTAAACAATAATCAGGCATAATCATCTTCCTAAGATACTACACTATCCAGGTAAACAAAAATGCAATAAGCAGGTAGATTTCATTTCAGTCTCTTTCTCCTATCAAAACATACTATTTCATATGTTTCTTTCTGGAATAAAAATGATGCATCTTTTAGTAACAAGTTATGCAATCATAAGTAGCAACAAACAGTTTCCAAATAATATTACGGCATGTGTTCATCAATTATAAGTTAAGGGGAATATGTATTATGAATAACAAATGTGATACTGATAATTGATATGATTCGATCTGATCTGATCTAACCTGATCTAAATTTGACCTAATTTTAAATACTCTATAACAGTTAACATTTTTTGAAAAATGAAAAACAAATATCTTTAGATAAGAATTGTAACAAAAATTTTTCGCAAAAATTTAATCAATCAATCATTCGATCAATGCATGTAATTAGCATATCGAATCGAATCTGATAATATAAAGTGTCATGCTGTAATTACGAAAACAAATCATTCCTCTTACTTATACGCTCCAACAAATTATCCTGGACAAAGGTCATTTAATTAATAGTATGCTTTTGCCTGTTGGACATATGCTACCACCTACCTCTTTTACCTTCCTTTGCTTTTACAAGAGGTCACATGCCTTGGGTAAAAGGAAGAGCTATATAAATCGGTAACAGTGAATAAATGTTGAATACTGTTGAAGTGTAGTTAATCAGAACATCTGTTAGTGAAGCAAAACAATAGGTTGTTCCTTAAATGGCTGAATTAATCCCATGTGCATATAATATATATATCCATCCATCTATTATCATCACTATTATCATTATTATTATTATTATTATTATTATTATTATTATTATTATTATTATTATTATTATTATTATTATTATTAT